GGCGGTCTCGTAAATATCCAGGTCCTATGCCATGGAGCGCTTTAAAGGTGGTAACTAACACCTTAAAGCGTACCCGGAAGGCCACTGGTAGCCAGTGCAGCTCGCGCAGCAGCGGCGTTACGTGGGAGCGACGTGTCGCTCCCAACACCGCCCGCGCGGCCGCATTCTGGACCAGCTGAAGCCTCCGGATGCTCCTCATGTTGCTGAGATAGTCTAACCTTTCCACAGAGTTCTTGTTGTCCGTCAATGCAAAGTAAATATTCAAAAACAAACTGTGAAGATTGATATGCCAAATTATCTCACTGTACTTTCCACCGTTTTAAGCCTTGCAGATCGACTGTCAGGCTGGAAGACAGCTAACGGTCTCACCTTCTGCAGTTGCCCAGGTTCTTTCAAAGACACAATACAATACAATAACAAAGTTGGAAGGGACCTGGGAGGTCTTCTAGTCCAACCTCCTGCTCAGGCAGGAAACCATTGACCATTTCAGACAAATGGCTGTCCAATCTCTTCTTAAAAACTTCCAGTGTTGGAGCATTCACCGCTTCTGGAGGCAGGTTGTTCCACTGGTTAATTGTTCTCACTGTCAGGAAGTTTCTCCTTAGTTCCAGGTTGCTTCTCTCCTTGATTAGTTTCCGTCCGTTGCTTCTTATCCTGCGGAAGGTTGAATGAACATGCCAGTGCAAGTCAGTTGCAGCAGAAAGATCTATCATGTCTTATTTTATTGAAAGCAGGAAGAGTGTGTAACACAGAGGAAGCTCACTTCACTTTTGTAACAAACCTCCCAGGTTGTGAGGTGATGAAGTGTGTCAGCTCCACCAGGTGGACCAAACCAGGAAATCAACCCTACAGGAAAGCTTATTTAGCAAGAGAGGAACTGTTGATAGTCTACAACACAGTCCTTTCAGCAGGTCCAAGAAGGCTCCACACCTATTTGCATTACTCAGGTGACCCCGAGGACACAGATAAACCTCCAAGTGGCCTCAACGACTCTCTAAAAGAATGCAAATGACCAGCTGCTCGCAAGGAATAGAAATCCTTCCATTCCTCATTCGGGTTGCTTGGATTGAAGGTGCCAACAACAGAAGTGTCGGGTTGCACGGAGGTGTGAGATTCGGCTACAATCTCTGAAAGTGCTCGCCCCACTCTCTTCTAGCACTGATGAGGTTACCTAGTTGGTTTATGAAACGTCTGCAGGAAAACTACTTTCATTTTCAGTGTCAATCTATCCATTTTTGCACAATCTAAGAATTTATTTTTTAATTAACTCTTCCTCTGTTGGTAAATCTTCATTTTTCCAATGTTGAGGGGATACAATTCTTGCTGCAGTTAATACATGTAAAGTTAAGTATATGCACTCTTTCTCATAGTTTCCGACAGTTATGCCTAACAAATCACTGTGTGGTTTCTGTTTAACTCTGTAGCGCGAGGGTTTCCATCCGAAAAGGAGTTTGAACACTACATCCGGTTCGATAACCGTTCGGGCAATGTACTGGCGGGACTGGTTTTTGAGAACTGTGTGGCTAACAGCCAGGATCCGTTGCCGCTCCAGGTACGATGTTCTCTTGGTTGGTTCTCTTCAAGTACACCATCTCAACTCTCAAAGTGGTGCATGATAGTCTCTTACTGAGAAATTGTGAAAACTCTGCATGGAGATAATATGTCTAGGGGCATTCCTATAGAAAATGTAGGCAATGAAATAGAATGGAATAGAATAACAGAGTTGGAAGGGACATTGGAGGTCATCTAGTCCAACCCCCTGCACAGGCAGGAAACCTTATACCATTTCAGTCAAATGGTTGTCCAATCTCTTTTTAAAAACCTCCAGTGTTGGAGCGTTCAAAACTCCTGGAAGCAAGTTGTCCCACTGATTAATTGTTCTCGCTGTCAGGAAATTTCTTCTTAGTTCTAGGTTGCTTCTCTCCTTAGTTAGTTTCCATCCCTTGTTTCTTATCTTGCCCTCAGGCGCTTTGGAGAATAGCTTGATTCCCTCTTCTTTGTGGCAACCCCTGAGATATTGGAACATTTGCATCTTCGCACATTCTTTCTGGTGCACGTGTATGCATGCATACTAGTAAGCATGTAGCTGAACTGGAGAACACCACAGTGTCTGTAAACATGCATGGATGCTTATGTGCCATGTGCCAAATTCTTTATATTTCCCATACATTCCACTGTCTGGTTCAAATCCTTAGGACCAGATATGCTTGTTGAATTCTTTTTGGTTCCTAGTCTCTCCTCCTAATACGTATCACTGCTAATAGGCAACATGTTTCCCAGCCATTTTAAGTCAGGAAACATCTGGAACTCACGGTATAAGCCATGATATTTAAGTTAGTCACATCTCTCTTGTCTGCTCTGCTGGCTGGGGAATTCTGGGAGTTGAAGTCCATACATCTTCAAGTTCCCATGGTTGAAAAATCCTGGTTCAGTATGACCTTCTGCCATCAAATCAGAAGCCCCCATCCAGATGTACAGAATGTGGTGGAGGAGGGCACACATTTCTTAACAACATGTGGGCTGGATGTTGTGTTACTCATTCCAGGCCAGCCAAGGGGTTGGATGCAACTAGCTTTGAATGGCCTCGGGGAATGTCATGGACTCTTATTGTCATTGTGATTTGTCTGCAGGTTAGTTATCAGCTACGTTTCAAATATAGCCCTAGGAACGCTCCTCCAAGTGAAAGGACAGGATTGAACCCCAACTTGGATCGAGACTGGAACACCCACTACCTCTTCCCACTGTTCCAGTTACCAGGACCCAGAGAGGCAAAAAGTGATGATGGAGGCACACCAGGTAATCTTTTCCTAATGGTTATTTTATGCTGAAAGATCATCAGATCTTCAGTAGGACCTGGAAACACGAGGAGCTGTCCTCTACTTCTGACTGGTCTTCGGTCATTCACATTGTCTCCAACATGAGATATGCGTTTCTCACATTGCGTAACCCGTAAGAAGTTTCTAGAACCTATGCTGTCTATTGTCCCCACCCCAAGGACCATTCTTGTGAAAGACAAAGTTGGCATAAAATATGATAACCTGGCTCAAGTGTTGAACTAGAATTATGGGAATCGTGGTTCAATTCCACCCTTAGTTTTAGAAGGGGAGTGGATATCTTTTGGTGGTCTCTCAACCCAACGTACTTCACCGTGTTGCTGTCATGAGATAAAATGAAGATGTACAATGAAGCCACCTTGAACTCTTGGACTAAAGATGGGATAGAAATCTAATGAAGAGAATAAATCAGCCAATAAGCTCTTTAAAACACTGAATCAGTGAAGACTACTTCACATCTTGCTAGGCTTCTGATGACTACCTAGTCAGGATGGTGTCATTTTCTTGGCAGCTGTAGGAAAATTGTGTCCTCATATGCCTTTTTCTGGGATGTGACCCTGACTACTGTAGCTTATAGCTTTGATATTTCAGATAGTTTCCCTTCCAACTGTTAACCATGCCTGATCCCACTTAGCTTCCAAAATCAGAGAAGCTTTATCAGAAGGTGCTACCTGTTGAAATTCTGAATTTAATACCACCTCTTTTCACGTGGCTTCCTTCTTCTTGCTTTCTTAGGGTACTTCCGTGAAGGCTTCCTTGCAGTGCAGCATGTGGTGGATAAGGCCATCATTCAGTACCATGTCAACAACTCTACTTCCGGTCTGCTGGATCGGGTGACTGTGACCGTTAGGCGCTTTCCTTATCCCCCTTACGTCAATGACCTCTTCCTTCTGGCTATTCAGAACCAGCTTCCCTTGTTACTGATGCTGAGCTTCACCTACACCTCCCTCAATATCGTCCGTGCTGTGGTGCATGAGAAGGAGAAGAAGCTGAAGGTAATGGAAGGATCTGCTCTGGGGTTTGGTAGGACAAGGCTAGCTAGTTGGCTAGCCCAGCTATGAGAGGAAATTAATAGACTTAGACTTAGAAATAGAATAGAATAGAATAGAATAGTATTAGCAATAGAATAGAAATAGAAATAGAAATAGAAATAGAAATAGAAATAGAAATAGAAATAGAAATAGAAATAGAAATAGAAATAGAAATAGAAATAGAAATAGAAATAGAATAAAAATAGAATAGAAATAGAAATAGAAATAGAAAAATAGAATAGAATGGAATGGAATAAATAGAATAGAATAGCATTAGAATAGAACAGAACAGAACAGAATAGAATAGAATAGAATAAGAATAGCATTAAAAATAGAATAGAATAGTATTAGAAATAGAATAGAATAGCATTAGAAATAGAATAGAATAGAATAGAATAGAACAGAACAGAAAAAGAATAGAAATAGAAATGGAAATAGAAATAGAAAAATAGAATAGAATGGAATGGAATGGAATAAATAGAATAGAATAGAATAGAATAGAATAGAATAGAATAGAATAGAATAGAATAGAATAGAATAGAATAAAGAGAGAACAGACTAGAACAGAACAGAACAGAATAGAATAGAATAGATTAGAATAAAGAGAGAACAGAATAGAACAGAACAGAACAGAATACAACAGAATAGAATAAAGAGAGAATAGAATAGAATAGAATAGAATAGAATAGAATAGAATAGAATAGAATAGAATAGAATAGAATAGAATAGAATAGAATAGAAAATAGAATAGGAATAGAATAGAATAGTTTGGTTTCTTTCCTGACTGTATAAATTTAGAGATATCCCTCTGCCACTGTTTAAATGGAATACCCGGGCGAACTCATCCATGATGACTAGGTTTGATGTCATAATAAGCATAGTTTAACACAGGGGTTCCCAACCCCCGGTCCGTGGACCGGTACCGGGCTACAGCATGCCAGCAACCGGTCCGCACAAACAAGCAAAGCCCCATCCGCGGGATGCAGGCAGCACACAAAACCAGTCACCCTCCGGTCCGCGGAAAAACCTTTCTCCAGGGAACCGGTCCCTGGTGCCCAACAGGTTGGGGACCTCTGGTTTAACAGATTGTGCCTTAGAATTTAGTACGCCCCAGGCCTGAGGGTGTTTTGTCTTGAGAACTTGTCTTTATTTTAAGGCAGGCAAGAATGCTCACAAAACCTCTGTCCTCGTGGTAAGCGTGCAAACACCTCTGAAAACCAAATGTGCAGATGCCTATTTGAAAATGAGAAAAGCCCAGATGGATAATTCAATGGGCATTTAAATATAGATTTTTTTGCTTCTCCCTCGTTGATTAGCAGATATGTATGGTTCCATGCGGGATTTTGTGTCCACAGGAGTACATGCGCATGATGGGACTCAGTAACTGGCTACACTGGAGCGCCTGGTTCCTCCTGTTCTTCCTTTTCCTCTTAGTGTCCATCTTCTTTGTGACCATCCTCTTCTGTGTCAAGGTGAGCATCCTCATATTAAAGAATATTATTGGACCCTTTGAAGAAAATATATAAACAAATACGGTACAAGAAAGAACATGGGGGGAAATAGATTAAATAAAGCAAGGATTTTTAAATCTCATGGAAGTTACAATGTTTTCAAATATCACTGATTAGTTTATGGATTGTTTGTTTGTTTGTTTGTTTGTTTGTTTGTTTGTTTGTTTGTTTCTTTCTTTCTTTCTTTCTTTCTTTCTTTCTTTCTTTCTTTCTTTCTGAAATTTATTTGCCGCCCATCCCATATCCAATGACTTTAGGCAATTTACAACATAAAAACATTGAAAAACATCTGTCTGTCTGTCTGTCTGTCTGTCTGTCTGTCTGTCTGTCTGTCTGTCTGTCTATCTATCTATATACCTACCTACCTACCTATCTCACATTAAGGGACTAATAATCACTATTACTTTTAACCTTAAAATAGACATAAAAACCATAGTAAATGCTATATACATATCAGCATCTAAATTGTACCTAAAATTATTACTAAAAATCTCATAAACATGGATTCTAGCCAAAGAGAAACCCAATTTTTTTTGGGGGGGTGATAGCTATAAATTCAGATTATAATCTAAGAATGGTTTCTGGTTTGAGCTGATGTGCTTTTAAGAGAATTATTCTAGACATCAAACCAAGTTCTCAGCTTGGTTAGCCGTTCTTCCAATGAAAAGATCAGATGACCTTTCCGGTACAAACATATAGTAACTTTGCAACAGTTAGCATACGAGAACTAATTCAATATACAGATGCATGGTTTAGAGAAGTTTAATACCAATGCAACATCGTAGGTTGAAATGTGAATTCCATTTTTAAGCATTTTTAAGAGCCAATCGTTTTCCAGAATTGTTGAGTTTGATGCTATAGCCACCAAAGGTGACCATCTTCCAAGAGATATTCAATGTGTCCACTTTCTACCTTGGTAGTCATCTCATGAAGGACAGAGGCATTGGTTCAGGCTTGGGCAGGATGGGACAAATCCGTATAGTGGAAAAGGCAACAGGATGGGGCTTGGGGGAACATGTTCACTCTTTCTTCCACTACCCCCATTTCTCAGATCTGTCTGTCTCTGTCAAGGTGATGAGGCCTGAAAGAGTAAGAGAATTTATTGACAGCTTTCCGTTTTTGCAGGTCAGTGGACAAGGAGCAGTGCTGACCAGCAGTGATCCAGCTCTGATCTTCACTTTCCTAGCGGTGTTTTGCATCTCAACCATCTCCTTCAGCTTCATGGTCAGCACCTTCTTCTCAAAAGGTGAGCAAAGGGGTTCCTACTATTGCTTCCTGTTAGGGTTGCCCCTGTTCACACAATCCTGCCTAAGCTGCCATCTTTTCTTATTACGTAAAAGTTTAGAATAGGATATCTTGATTGTCATTGTGTAACTCACAACCAAATTAAGTTGTCTCTCGAGAGCTACGCGGATATTTTCTTATTATAGAAGAGATTTCCCTCCCTACATTCTGTTGTGTTGTGCTGTGTTTTCTTTTCTTTCTGTGGCGGTCCTGAGAGTCTCTGATAGACTTCCTTCTGAGTATTAATCATGCTCGACCCACATCGCTTTAACCACACGACCAGTGTTTTTAAAAACGAAAATGTGGGATATAGACAGAGACAGTATTCTTTCCTGCCTACCTTATCTGTGTGTCTGGACAAATTTTACTTGTCTTTCGATAGCCAGAAGAGATGTATGATTTAACTTTAAAGAGGGAGGAGAGATAATGAATGAATTTGTAACTGTTGTAAAGCAAATGGGAAGCCTTTCCTTTCCTTCTTCTCTTCTCCTCTCCTCTCCTCTCCTCTCCTCTCCTCTCCTCTCCTCTCCTCTCCTCTCCTCTCCTCTCTTCTCTTCTGCTGTCTCCTCCTGCTATCCTCTCCTCTCCTCTCCTGTCCTCTCTTCTCTTCTCTTCTCTTCTCTTCTCTTCTCTTCTGCTATCCCCTCCTGCTACCTCTCCTCTCCTCTCCTCTCTTCTCTTCTGCTATCCCCTCCTGCTATCCTCTCCTCTCCTCTC